GCGTTAGATAACATCGGCGCAGAAGGTCCGCTCCATAAATCATCTCATCGGCGCTGCCCGATTAAAATCATCGGCCGCGCGCGATTGTCCCAACGCTCGCGAGCTGGCTCGCGTCCTTGGATATAGGAGGTGTTTCCGATCCTTTCACGAGGTTCGAACTCAATCGAGCACACGCCTTTAACGAGGAAGAAAGAGGAAAAAAACGCCCAACCGTACGATCACGCAACGCAAATGTCGCAATCGTTTTAAAAGTATCGTGACCATGGAGACTGGCTCGCTCATTTGGGATCGCTTCTGTAACGTCATTTCCTCAGCTACTAGATTTATGCATTTGATAGTTCTTTTTTTCTTATTCTCGAACATTAGGTGGTTTCGACGGCGTCGGTTGCAAGGTGTGGAAATATCGCGTCAAGATACGATCGGGACATACGTGACACTTATTAATCACTGTGCAGCATTAGTTTGTTAGTCGTTTCGCGATATGTATGTTAATTTCTGTTTTCAAGAATTCAATGTTTCTTAGAATTCAAATTACCTCCCGATATTCTGGTTTTTAGTTGAAATCTACACGGAGACACTTATTTTGAGTCACCCTGTAGCGTTAGTTTTTTCGTCGCTAGATTTGCAGTGTTTACTTTGTATTTTTAAAAGCGTTGCGTTTCCATATTGCAGTCACGCGAGCTTGTTTTATTTACATACAATGAAAACCTTGAGAAAGGCGGTCGATTTGAATGACAGTAATTTTGACCACTCCTGCGTTACCGGTGCACCGCGCGGGAGGTTCCCTTATTTGAAATTAATTTCATTTGAAACGTCCCGTGTTAACAATCCGCGCGTCGACGTTGTTAACGTCCTTCTTGTATAATATGAAATATAAATATTCTCGAGAGGGGGGTTAATTGCATCCTTGAGTACAGTTTATAAAAATACGGAAAGCGAGGAGAAACTGCTTGTACAGGGCGATTCAAGATAAACGGAACGGTTTAACCAGTTAACTGCGTTTGACGAGTGTACGCGTCGTCGTGAAGCTCGACATGATACTAATTCATTCATCGATGAATTCTTTATTTGTTCACATAAACGTGTAGTTCTTCTTTGATTCGCTTTGATGTTTCATTAAAATATACCAATTTTTTTATTTCACTGCGCGCAGAACGAGAGGTTTTGCCAACTAAATTCCAGTTAACTGGTTAAGGAATATAAATGTTAACGAATTTAGGGAAAGGTTATTCCGCGACATATAATATTAATTAATAAAAATGAAGACCATTTGTAAAGTACACCGCTGAATTAATCAGAGTCCCATGTTCTTAATTATACAGTAATTCGCCTTATCGATTTTTCGCTAGTTCCTCGATCCCACGGAAGCGAAAGGGACGACGTTGTTAAATCGCGGCGGTTGAAAGGACCCGCCTAATTATTTTTGACAAACGATCGACGTCAGAACCGCCGCGTTCACTCGCGGGAAAAATAACAGTCCAACACGTAACGCCTGATTTCTTCTTCGAAATCGCGGTGACTCAATACGGGGGAAATTAACATAACCTGATCCCGGAAAAACGTAAAAATGATTCCTCCTTCATTGAAGATTTTATCCACGATTCGTTTATAGCGCTGGACGAGAGATATCTTCTGATGGAATGCCATGATACTGTTTATAGAGTTCGATTCGAGATAATTCGCTGATAACGTTAGACGTTGTGAAACAATGCGATTGTTCGGTATTAGTGAACGGGATGAATATTATTCATTGAAATGATTCGAACCAGCTGAAAAGGTACTAAGAATGAAAGAGGAAGAAAAATGACTGCATTCTTGTATTTTAATGTGACTTTAAATTGATGTGTATATAATCTTAACAAGCGAATTATTTTTCAGAACAGCATATAATATACGAATACATCGAAATACTGAATTATCACATATAGCGTCGCTCCCACGAATTGCTTAATTAGCGCAGAAATTCATTCATACGAGGCTGTGAATGGTCGCAATTACATACGGGTTAATTGTTGCCGGCCAACTGCGCGAAGTAATTTTACGCGGAAAATGGTTTCCAATGCAATGATTTCAAGAAAATATTGACACTTCAATTTTCATAATAACAACGGCACTTTGCATGCGCTCCGCAAAAAGTGTAATGAATTATTTCTGCAGTTCGTAACGTATTCAATGCACCCATTGCTCGAAATTATAGGTTCGGGCAGCTTGTTAATTACGTGGCTGGTCGGTATCCTGTAATTAGCGACGTTGACTCAATTATGTTATTATACAATGTCCCATTGTATATAATTACAGTAACGTGTGCCTATGAAATGAAAGGTTGTACTTGGGGTTACGAGAATGTTAAAGCGTGGAAATATTTCGAAATTTCATTGTTCAAACTATTTTATACAGTAGTATACGCACAGCCTCTCAGAACTTTCCTAAGAACTTTAATTAATCCAACGAGAAATATCAAGCTTGAATTATAACCTACTTAATACCCTTTCCTAATAAAACAGACATTTACTTGGACAATCCAAATATTCAATAAAGCGATAATAAAGATTTTTCCAAAAGTATTTCCCAGAATAGAATTGCTACGAAACTCTCTTCAAAAACGAACGAAAAACCTTCATTGGAGATTGAAATCAATTAATATCGCTGTTTAATCGTTACACCGTCGTAAGGCAATCTTTTCTCTCGATTCGAGAAGATCGATCGATCCTGCGTAACGTAATTGAACAATTTTCCGAAGGGTCGCAGTCGCCTTTATCGCCCTACTTATTACAACATTTTAATTACCCCCTCGTAGCCGCTTTCAGAAGCGACACAACTGGCACGTGGGGTTAATTACTTCCATCCGGGCACTGTTTAACAGTCGTTGATCACGGTGAAAAGCTACATGGTCTAGCGATAATTGCTCGAATAACTCGGCTCGCGGAAAATCCATTAATTCACGGGCAGAAGTTTTCGCGTTCCGAATACAATGGTATCGAGATAAATACGTAGATCGCGCGAGAATGCTTGTCAAGCTTCGCGATATCCGGCCGAATGAGATTTCCCACGGAAATGGAATATTTCCCGCGCGGCGAGTTCGTCTCCCTCCGCAGAGCGTGGTGGCGATGCCGATATTTTCAATGATTTTCCTCCGAGGATCGAAAGACGATCGTTGCATCGTTTTCTTTGAAGAAAAAATTTGTTTAAATATTCCAATTGGTACTCGGTGTTAAGACGACCGAGCTGACAGTGACATTGACTTCGATTCGCTATCGTGCCGCAACGAGGAAACCGCGATGGATAATCAATGTAACGGCGAGTAATGGTTTGGTATTAATCATGAAAACAAACCGAGGAATAATTACACAATGGCACGCGAGTGATAATCTCCGTGCATATTGCGAAGAGGACGTATACTGGGTGTCTTCGTTTCTTTGCCGATTGTATATCTTCAAACGTAATGTGAGAAAGAAGTAATTTTATAATTCATTAACTATCAATAATTGGCAATTGGTTTTTTGTGCAGAGAGTTTATAGTAGTCGGACGTGTTAGTTATCCAGAGGAACGAATTGAAACTGGGTGTGCGGATGGCTGAGGAATTTTTGAAATTGATTTGTCTCTCGAAAAATGTGAAGTTTCATTGTATATTTTATAATTTACTTCGGTATTTGTAATCACTTTATCTTTTTGCATCTAATATAATATTATTTTAGCGACACTATGTATGCGAGTAATAACTGGAATCGTCGATAAACATCTTGTAAATTATAGGAGCTGTTTGTAATGCAAATTTCAATCTGATATGGAAACCATAGCACTTGCAGATAGGTCTTAGAATTATGTATCTGATTAGAGATATTTCATTCTATTAATATTAACAACTGCGTAGCGTTGAAGAAAAACAAATTGGAAATTATGAAGAACAGTCGTTTATGTTTCTGTTTATTTTTCATTCGATATACTTAATATGTAATAACATTGATCACCATGGGATTAACCAGTATTCAAATTAATCATCATCACAAGTTTGAATCATAGACGATAATTGGACAACCTTTCTAAATATCCTTATTCAAAGGAATAAATTGAGCAACTTCGTACGTCCACGAACCACATGTCTGTACGTAGTCAGCATATTCCACTGAACCCGAACAAGACAAGAATACTAATTAAATCTAGGAAAAGCAGAATTTCCTCAAACAATTTCAAGAAACAGTAATCCATTCTTTTTCAAGACCAACAACTGCCAAAGATAACAAACCAAATTAACTACTCAAAAAAACCCTACTTAAAACCAAAACCTTCAATCTTGTTACAATTCCCACAAAAATTCCCACTCCTCCATTTTCCAATCTAAAATCCAGAACCGGCGAATTTACATCGATAAAAGATAAAATCGGCCATAATTCCGAAGCTACCGAGCAATTAAATTCACTTCGAAATTTCCCTATAGAAACTCCAGATCTATCGAAACTTCAATTACAATTCACTTTTCGCATCGTTCAATCAACTCCATTAATAATTACCCACAAAACCATCTGTTCCCTTTTTAATAATTCCAAAACGAAGAAATAAGTCATTTCTATTTGTCCACCAGTTCTAGTGTTAACACTAAAACCACCGAGCAATTAAATTCACTTCGAAGTTTCCCTATAGAAACTCCAGATCTAACGAAACTTCAATTACAATTCACTTTTCGCATCGTTCAATCAACTCCATTAATAATTTCCCACAAAACCAGCTGTCCCCTTTTCAATAATTTCAAAAAGAAAAAATGAGTCATTTCGATGTGTCCACTAGTTCTAGTGTTAACACTAAAACCACCGAGCAATTAAATTCACTTCGAAATTTCCCTATAGTAACTCTAAGAGATCTATCTAAACTTCAATTACAATTCAATTTTCGTATCGTTAAGTCAGTGTTTTAATAATTCCAAGAAGAAGAAACCAGAAATACGTCGTTTTGTCACGTCCGGTGATTTTAGCGTTAAACTCCGCCATCCAATTTTCGATCTCACCTCAGAAGAGGGTCACGGTTGGGCCGTAGTGTCTCACACCTGCACACGATGTCGTCCCATCGTTTTCGTATGGCGCACGATCCCGGCCGGTCGTTTCTTCGAGTGGCAATGGATAAAACAGCACTGATCGAACACGAAAACACACGCGGTCAAACACGTCGTATCACCGCACACGCCCCCTACCCAGCATCCGTTTCTTCGCGCGGCACCGCTGAATGTATCGGGTGCAGCTGTTTGAGTAGGGATTTCGATGCTTATCGTATACGACTATCTATATTCCCGGCGCACGCCCGATTGTTACACCTTTTCCCCCATTGAGCCGCGATTCCTTAGCGTTTTTATCGGCTGAAACACGCGACTCGCACGTACAACGGAGGATCCGGCCGTGTGCGTGTACGTGCGCGACCGGGAAAGGTGATCGGGACGTTTGCGCTTCGCTTCGGTAACGAGAGATTGGTTTCCTTTCCGCGATATATCTTGTCTGGTTCGATCAGGCCTTCGCGTGTCAACGATTCGCGAGATAAATCGTTGTCTTCGGCAACCGACGGAGAATACCGAACGGTACGCGAAAATCGTTGGTTGCTATAGGAACCTGCTGGAATACTAAGAAAATTTTTGATATGTGAAAATTTTGTTGCTGAGAATTCCGAATATTTTGTTGTAAAGGGGATATTGTGTTGCAAGGAATTGTAAATGAATGAGAATACTCGGAAATAAAGGGTTGCGAATATTGGAAGGAAATGTTACGAGTAAATAAATATATTGGAATATTAAAAAATAAAGGTTCATTCGAATGTCCCCGACTTTATTTAATTCTGATATCTCAAAAATTCCGAGTACAATCGGAATGTTCTTTCCGTTTTTAGAAGTGTTGTCATTTTAAATTTAATTACTAGGTCTGACTAATGATGTATACTTTTTCTGTTTCAGTTTCATATGATTGGTAATAATAGGTCTGATTCAAAGAGGTGAGCGATCGTTGTATGACTTTGTTCTCATTACTAGGATTCCATGTAACGCTGAGCGATGCGAGGAATTTTAATGGAGTTTCGCAGGAGAGTTTGTTAGAGTATTAATTCGATCGACAACACGAGGGAATGACAGTAATAAAATACTCGATCGTCTCTCCCTCTCTGCGCCTGCCTCTCCGTTTCCGTTCGCGAACGAACGTGTAGGCTTTCATGCGACTCGAGCCATGACGTAAACCACTCGTTAAACAGATTTTCATCAACAGCTCCTCATCTCATTAATTATTACACACTATTGCGCGTTATTCCGCTATGGATTTCGTTCATGATATCGAGAAAAGAAATATTTAGTTAAATGATCCGTGATTATTAAAGAAACTTGATCTAATAATTACGATAACGAATCACGATCGCCGAGTAATTAGTTTCACGTGAATAATATTCTCTCGACTTCGATAATCGAGAACGACTGTTAAATTGACAGGTGAATTCTTCGTCGGAGTTCGGTCTCGATGTGGCTACATAAATTTACAATGATCGTGAATAATAAATGCCCGCCGATTTCTATCGGACATCTCCGATAAATCAAATTCCGGTAACATTAATTTAACCGTGACTGTAATTTGTACTTATCATTACAAATTACGATGATCCGGACGAATGATTTGTGAAACACGATTAACAGTGAATATTCATCGAAAGTTATCGATCGTACACTCTGCCAAGTGAATGCCGATCACTCCCGTGTACTAATTAATGAAGATTACGTATTATTGATTCGCCGAGCACGAAGCACGGAAGCGGCGCATCGGTTTCAGGGATGATTTAATCGCGATCGTTAATTCTTCGATTTAATTCTGATCAGTTTTTTTCATCGGACGTTGTAGAGGCTCGTTGCATTCATGGGTTTTTTGAAAGAATTTTCGTTCGACGCATTCATAGCTGATTTCAAAGTGAATGGGAATATTCTGAGGAAAATAAATTGAAGGGAATTAACATTCGTTTCCGAGGCACAATTAAACGCTAAATGATGTTATCATTCACGGACCTTAAGTTTTAAATATCGTAATTATAATATTTCCTTGAAATTTTCACTTTGAATACAATTTTTCTATAGACGAATGAAAATCAGGTTTCTATGGTTTGTTTGATAAACAACAATTATGATGTAATGAGATTATTGTAAATTAAGTAGAAATATTATAAGTAATATTGTAGTATCATGAATATTATAAATAATATAAATAAGATCATATAGTATCATAAATATTATAAATAATATAAATAAGATCGTATAGTATCATAAATATTATAAATAATATAAATAAGATCGTATAGTATCATAAATATTATAAATAATATCTTATAATATCATAAGCATTATAAATAAAATGGAATACAAAAAGTTAAATAGAACGCGAAAAATAAAATGAGGTTCTCAGTAAGTAAACTTAAATTCCCGCACACTGGAATCACAGTGAAGTTACGATGCTGCAGTAATAACGAGTGCTCGTAGCGAAGTTAACGCAAGACACGTGAATTCAGCCTCTGTTAATGAAATGAATAGAATTTAGGAACTCCTGCCCGTAATACGGCAGAATGTTCCTCACCAGCGACGCCAGTTTCAAAACTATCTTCTTTCGGGGCACGGTTCCGAAAAACAGCCGCGTCGCCTTTTATTTCTTCCACTTATTAATACAGTTCCGTCATGTTTTAACACGAAAGCCATTAAGCTCTCATTAAATGCGGTTTTTTTCATCGAGACGAGACAGAGAAAAAAAATTACGTAGGCGTTAATTAATTCTCACAAGTGGACAGCAGGTTCTCATGCAATTTTATAGTCGACAATCGCGAAACTGAAGAAGAGAACAAGATTATATGTTCTACATTATTTTACATCGTAACAATATTAAGTTCAATACATTGGTCGTGTCAAATTTATTTTAACAAACATTTATAATAATTCATCTAAAAATGAATGAATAATAAAATTTTACTATTCTGCTTCTATATTAGTCTTTTATGAATATTTTCATAAAATACAAATACAAAGAGACTTCACGAGATTTATAAGTGCACAGTGAATTTTATTTATTTACAACACACACAATTTTCCAATATTTAAGTGAAAATTTCATAAGGTTTCTGAAGGATTGTTTTTCAGATAGACATTAAATTCTTTATTTTATTCAAAGCTTAATATAGTAGCAAGATTTATTCAACAACATTTGCATATGGGTCCACAGTATACTTATGCGGATTAATGAACCAATTACGCGGATTACCGTTCACATGTTCGTCGCGACGAATACGAAACTATTCGCCGGTTCGCCTAGCAACACCTCATTTATCTCGGAGGAACACGCGGCTGGTATTTCGGGAAGGAAAAAAAATGTCATCGCCAGTAAATTTCAATTAGCTTGCCAGGGAGCCGTGCTTTATTAATTATTTACCGTGTCCGCATACGGAAGCACACATTAACCTTTATCGTGAGCCGCCGCCATTATGATGGTACTAAAACACTGTAAATAATCCAGATAGTCTCGATGAAAGGTACGTGGCTGATAATGTCCATTGTAAAATTTCATTTGTTCGAGTTTGCTCGAGTTTCGAATTTGTTCGAAACATGTCTTTCGGAAACAATGCTGCTTCGTCTCGAATAAATTTGATAGAAGAATCTATTCAAACTTCGTTAATTACAACATTATTCCACACCCTTTGTAAACATTGGTAATTATTCTTTAAATTCACAAATGTAGGAATAATATCAATTATCGTAATGTGGTTTCATTAGAGTAATAAATCGCGACACGAAGAAGCACGAATGAAAATGGGAATGCATGGAAATGTCAGATATACATTTGGACGTATACCATTGTTGTTCTCGGTGATCTTGATGCGTTCAACAAAATTATTATACTAAGCTCAACATGAAGTTTCGCCCGGTACGGGAGGGATAATGTTTTGATAATATTCCGTGCCCGCGGCTGTGATTTTCCTCTACTTAGTCTTCGTTATGTTTAATTAATAATATTCACGTTACGAAAAGTTTCATAACATTTAATAACTGCGTTTGATACGACGAGGATACATTCCAACTTTTCCATGTGGTACCTGTTTTTCGAAATGGAAAAGACTTATTCTCATATAACTTCGTACTTTTTATGTCAAACATACGTATGGTATAGTGAAAGTTTCTATAAATATCAATTTTTAATTATAATATAAACATTTCAATGTACTTAACGCGTCGTTCATTCTGGAATTTAAAAAATCACAGTAGAATTCTACGGAATGTTTTCATTTCTTTAGCATTTCGTTCGTTCTCTTTATTTGGATTTAGCTGTTTCTGTTTAGAGTTGTTTCAATTTGACTATAAGCAAATTGTTATTACGCTGTATTATTGGGACTGGATTTATTCCTATTATTTTTAATAATATGTCAAGCGCATAGATAAATTTTCGTTAAAGAAAAAATTTTCAGAAAACGAATGCTCGCTCCATCTATGTAAATTCACCGTAACTCCCGCGGATATCAAGACTTTCTATCCACTTCTTAGACTCCACCTGTCACCTGTCCTCCGCCAGCACATGGTTTATCTCGCACGGATTCGCCGATCAGATCTTGGCAAGGTTTCCGACGCGAGTAAAAATGCTAATTTTGTCGGACCATAAATGTATCTTTTCCCCGCAGTGCTCCCTTGCATCACTTTTAGTGTGATAGTAACTAAATTCTCGTAAAAAATCCTCGAGATAATGGATTCATCGGCTCTTAAAGTTCCTAGGGACCTTAATCTTTTAAGTACAGTCAGTGATTTTGATTCTCGACGCTTGGGAATTTTATAGCTTGCTTTACTTACACGTGGGAATAATAATTAAAAAAATATTAATTTACTGTTACAGAATTTCCAATTGTGTAAGGCATACGATACGAAAGAAATTTCTAATTTCTGTTTCATTAATCTAACAGTATCCTAACGTTTCGTTTTAATGTACAATTTCCCAAGAAAACAGCAGACATCTCTTCTAATTTTTATATAATACACTGAGACATGAATTGATAATATGGCATCATGAATTCATCACTACCAATAATTACTCTCATATATTGGAAACATGTTGAATCTACTGTTAGATAATTCATAAAAATCTTACCTCTAGAAATCCTGTTACCATCTTTCTCTTTAAAAAGGGACGAAAAGAAAATATTTTTATAACGAGGACTACTAATTGGAATCACCGATTAACTGAACCGCAAATGTTACGGTTTATTTCCCATTAACGTCACGAAATAATTCTTCGGGGGCCGCAATATGTTCCGGAAGCAGTGCGCAGGTTTTTCGTGGGGAGGTATAAAAAAGAGATTTACTCGATCTGGGTTTGTTCCGGGGGATTTGCATAATCCCCGAAATCTCGAGTAAGAAACCCTGTTAAATAATTACGAGGCACGGAGCACAGC